GTGTGTGTGTGTGTGTGTGTGTGTGTGTGTGTGTGTGTGTGTGTGTGTGTGTAGTAGAGAGAGAGAGAGAGAGAGAGAGAGAGAGAGAGAGAGAGCGCAGTTTCAAGCTTACACAGAGCTCTTCTTCAGGTCTGGCAGACTCAGCTGGAGCCTGTTGGTAGCCCAAACAAATTCTGGAGACCCAGACCTGAAGAGCTCTGTGCAAGCTGAAAAGCTTGTCTCTCTCACCAACAGAGGATGGTACAATAAGTGATATTATCTCATCCACTTTGTCTAACGCCCATTTCATGGCTTTTTAGGTAGTTTTATAAAACTCAATGTAAATAACTAGGGCCCTACCAAATTCATGTTCCATTTTTGTCAATTTCACAGTCATAGGATTTTAAAAATCAGAAAGTTTGTGATTTCAGCTATTTAAATCTGAAATTTCAGTGTTGTAATTGTAGGGGTCCTGACCCAAAAGGGTGTGTGTGTGGTGGTGGTGGTGGGGGGGGGGGGCGAGGTTGCAGTACGGGGGTGCTGTGGTTGGAGCTGGGCAGCTGGAGAGTGGCAATTGCTGGCTGGGAGCCCAGCTCTGAAGGCAGAGCCACTGCCAGCAGCAGTGCAGAAGTAAGGATAGCCTGGTATGGTACTGCCACCCTTACTTCTATGCTGCTGTCTGCAGAGCTGGGCCCTCAGTTAGCAGCTGCCACTCTCCAGCCACCCAGCTCTGAAGGAAGCACTGCCACCAGCAGCAGCGCAGAAGGGTAGCAGTACTGCAACCCCCCCTACAATAACCTTGTGACACCCCCCGCAACTCCCTTTTGGGTCAAGACCCCCAATTTGAGAAACGCTGGTCTCACCTGTGAAAGCTGTATGGTCCGCGGACAGAATAGATCAAAACCATGGGTCACAAATGAAATACTACAAATGTGTGACATCAGAAGAGAACGTGAGAGAGACAAGAACAGCACTGAGGAAGCTGATAAATACAGAGCAATTGGCAGAAAGATCAAGAAAGGAATGAAGGTAGCCAAGGAGATATGGATGAAAAACAATGCTCTAAAATTGAAGAGTGTATCAATAATAATATAGCAAACGAGCCTTCCAGGTTGTAAAAGATCTGACGAAGGAAAGATGGACCAAAGCTAATGCAATTCAAGACGAAGAAGGGAACAGTCTTACAGAAGAAAGGGACATCATCAATAGGTGGACAAATTACTGCTCTGATCTATACAACCACCAGCCAAATGGAGATCCTAGTGTCTTAGACAGCCCAGATTCAACAGAGGAGGATGACTTTCCAATATTATGTGAAGAAATGGATACAGCTGTGAAATCACTAAGAATGGAAAGGCTACAGGTATTGACAACATCCCAGCCAAACTGATGAAATTGGAGGAGACATAGTAATAGATGTAGTCACCAAGATCTGCAACAAGATCTGGCAGACTGGTGAGTGGCCCTCCATGTGGACACAGTCACTAATCATCACTCTGCCAAAGAAAGGCAACCTGCAATCGTGTCAAAATTACCGGACCATAAGCTTAATTAGCCATCCCAGCAAAGCGATGTTGAAAGTCATCTTGAACAGATTGAAGCCACAAGCAGAGAACATCATCGCTGAAGAATAGGCTGGCTTTCATGCTGGAAGAAGTACCACAGAACAGACTTTCAACCTTCGTGTTCTATATGAGAAGTACAGTATATTACACCAGCAGGATATCTACATCTTTGTTGACTTCAAGAAGGCGTTTGACAGAGTATGGCACGAAGCTCTCTGGGCAACCATGAAGTAGTACAATGTTGGTCGTAAGTTTATTCTTACCATTAAACAACTGTATGCCAAGGCCAGCAGTGCAGTTCTCATCAATGGCACAACAGAAGAGCGGTTTCGCACCACTGTTGGAGTCTGGCAAGGCTACGTTCTTTTGCCCACACTGTTCAACATCTACTTGGAGCCCATAATGACTGATTCCCTAGAAGATCTCACTGCACAGTCAGCATTGGGGGAGCAAACAATCTCAAATCTTTGGTTCGCTGATGACATTGATGGCCTGGCAGGTAGCAAAGATGAACTTGCCAACCTTGTGAAATGATTGGATGAAATCTCTGCAAAATACGGCATGGAAATCAGTGCAGAAAAAAACAAGCTGATGACAAACAAACATGATGGTATCAGCTCACATATCCCTGTCAGTGGACAAGAGCTGGAGATCGTGAAACAGTTCAAGTATCTGGGGACAATCATCACTGATGAAGGATCCAAGGCAGAAATTCAGGCAAGAACTGCGCAAACAACAGCAGCGGCAAAGCTAAAGCCATTTGGAGGAATAAGAACATCTCCCTGGAATCCAAACAAACTACTGCACACATTGGTCATCTCCATTTTTCTGTATGCGTCCGAGACATGGACCCTTACAGCAGAACTTGAACGGAAAATACAGATAGTAGAGATGAGATACTTCTGTAAAATCCTGAGCATCTCCTACTTCGACCACGTCACTAATGAAGAGGTCTGCAACATCATCACCCAATGCGCTGGGTCATATGAAGACCTCCTGGTGACCGTGAAGAAGCGCAAGCTGAAGTGGTACAGCCATGTAACAAGATCTGGCCTATCCAAGATCATCCTCCAAGGGACAGTTCAGGGGAAGAGAAGAAGAGGTAGACAGAAGAGATGGATTGACAACATAAAAGAGTGGACAGGAATGGACTTCGCGGAGACTCAAGCACTGACAAACAATTATCGGGGGGTGGAGACAATGGGTTGATTGTTCATCAGTGATGGTGTCCCAACGACCAAAGCGGTTATGGGAGTGATGATTATCATAGGATAAAAGCAGACAAAAGACCAGAGTTTCGGGGGGGGGGGGGGGTACCAGTTTTCACAGTCCATGACGTATTTTTCATGGCCATAAATTTGGTAGGGCCCTATAAATAATGTAGCACCCTCCAAATTCCACACAATTTTAAGGTGAGTCAAATT